GAGAGAGGGCGCGGGCGGGTGGGGTTGAGCTCCGCGTCGGGGGCAGCGCCGTGCCGGGAGGAGCATCCGCCTGCGCCAGCCCTGACCGAGAGCGTGGGATGTCAGCGCGCTGCTACACACCGAGCGGAAAGATGATGAATAATTTAATAAAATCAGTTATTCTGACTGGAGTTGCGAACCGCCCCGCGGGCGAATTGGGGTGCGGGCGCTTCGCACCGCTCCCCGCCTGCCGTCAGTTAGTTGGAGGCAGATGAGGAGGGTTAGGGTGAGTTTGCTCTTGTCCCAAGTCACGGGCCTCTCGCCCGGGGAAGTGCGGTAGCCCGGGGTCCACCGTGTGCCCCCGCCGCCGCCCTGGAGTCGCCCCCAGGGGATGTTCCGCAGCGCTTTGTCTGCTCTCTCTCTGTACTTGAGGTGACAGACTGCCGCCTCACATGGAGAAAACGAATGGGTTTGAGTATACATTAGATGTATATCATTTAGGGGGGGAAAATATTTTCCACCCTCATTCCTGTATAAAATACAGAATTTTATTAACATATAAAATAACACAAATATGTAAAATAACTATTCATGACCTAGAACGATTATTAGACACAGACAGTAAATCTATCAGTGCTGAAAAAATGCAATAAAGTTCATTAAGTATTTTTCTTCTGTATTTGGTAAGAAGAGTCATGTACATCTATTGTGAAAATATCAGGAAGTATTTTCGCAGAATGATAGAATGATTTGGGTTGGAAGGGACATGGGGAGGTACACTTCCCACTAGACCAGGTTGCTCAAAGCCCCATCCAACCTGGCCTTGAACACCTCCAGGGATGGGGTGTTTTCAGTCTACGCATAAGTGGAAAAAGTTCAGTATCTAACACTAATTTTTTTCACTATACCTAACTGTCCTTTAAAAACAAAAATCAAACTCTTGTTTACTGATGTAAAAGATTTGACAAGTTTTGGAATTCCAAGGAAATTCCAGAAACTTCAAGCAGTGTTAATACTATGTAGCATTCAAAATTTCAAGTGAAGTAAGCTACCTGACAACTGATTACCAATCTACAGTCTATTACCCATTTACTGTCTAAAGTATCATCCCATCCCTAAGCAAAATAGTAGAAAAGCTGGCGAAGACGTAAATTATTAATAAATTAAAGGACAGATTGAATGACAATAGGAAGACAATAAGTCTCAAGCAATCCTGACTACCCAATCTACATAAATTATTAATAAATTAAAGGACAGATTGAATGACAATAGGAAGACAATAAGTCTCAAGCAATCCTGACTACCCAATCTAGTCAGTTATTTTTACTTTAAAAAAAAAAAATAGAATAACACCTTTGTAATTTGCCTGACTCTATCATGGCAATGAAACACAGACTGATGCACTGGTAAACAGCGCACCTGTTGGGGGAATAATGACGTTAAGTTGAAACGGAGCTTCAGAAGTAAACGTCAGGAATTGTGAGCAAATGATAATGCTTTTAGTGAGAACCTGCAGAATCGATTCACTATTGTGGCTATTAAATATTCTAGTGACCTGCAAGTTGAATCACCCTCACCTCCTATATTAAGCTGGCTGTAGTATTCATTGGGACCTGTCTGTGAACTTCCCTAATGACTAGTCTGGCATAGCTGGGGAAGGACTTTTTACTAGGTCATGTAGCGACAGGACGAGGGTGAATGGCTATAAACTGGAAGAGGGCAGGTTTAGATTAATCATTAGAAAGAAGTTTTTCACTTTGAGGGTTGTAAGGAACAGGTTACCCAGAGAGGTTGTTGAGGCCCCATCCCTGGAGGTGTTCAAGGCCAGGCTGGACGCAGCCTTGGGCAACCTGGTCTAGTGGGAGGTGTCCCTGCCCATGGCAGGGAGGTTGGAACTCGATGATCTTCAAGGTCCTTTCCAACCTAAACCATTCTAGGATTCTATGATTCGATAAAATTAATGTAGTTAAAAAAAAAAAAAAGCCTTAAAAAAACCCCAAACCAAATCAGAGCAGTGGATGGCTTTCTGCTGGCTTAGTGAGATGTCCTGGCTCAGCAAAGGTTATGATGAACACCAGAAGAGGGTGGGGGTAGAAGTGAAACATTGTGTTTTCTGAAGTGGACAACTGTTAGATCAGCTCATCCACCTGACTTGACTTCACCCTGAAGATTGAGGACTCATAAAATAAAGGAAATACAATGCAGTATCTCAGCAAAAGAGTTTTGGAATCAGAGCAGACAAGCACCACAATCATCGGAGTTAGAAAGGTGCGACTACTCTGAGACCACAACTTACCATTGCACAAAAGGTCCAGTTAGGAAACCTTTGCTCATTCCCAACATGATGTCATTGCAAAAACTGAATACAACAGAGAATGCATAAATGGGAAACAGGGGGCTAGGGGTAAAAAGATTATTTTCCCTTGGTAGCCATTGCTACAACAAATTCAGGTATTCTACATGTAGTTCTAGCAATGACATTTTAGTGAATATGATGAAAAATTAGAAGAGACCCTCAAAACAGAATTAACAGCTTATACCTCTTCACCCTTACCTGTTCACATTAAGAATTTATTTGTATTCCCATTTTGTTTAAGTTTTAGAAAAAACCTCATGATTTTGCCTCCTCTGTTTTCACCTAGCCTCCTCAACACCAGCTAATGTTGCCAGCACTAGGTACTCGAATTGAGTAAAAGACAGCATGCGGTTCTGCTCCAATTCCAGGTCCTTCAGTTGAGCATCAAATCTGGGACTGACTGCACCACAGTCTTTGAGCCTGCTTATCACACCAGTAACACTGTCAGTTCTGTAAACATGATTTCAAATTCACTTTGAAGGAAGTGTAAACACGCTTCATCAGTACCATTAAGAATCAGAATATTATAACAGAGCATAATCTAATGAGAACATGGCATTTTCTGTTATTTCTCCATATTGCTGATCTTTTAAGAACATCACCTAGATCATTCATATGTGTTGTTGTCACTGCAGCAAGAAAGCAGAAGAGGGAATAGACCTATTTTTGTAAACAAACAAATTTTTCTAAAATATTTATATATATGTTTAGACTACAGGAGTGTTACTACTTTCACAAGCCAAAAATACAAGTGTTCAAGAGACGTTTTTAATCTACTACCACAAATGTTAACAGACACAGAATTTAATTCCTAATAAAAATTAAAAAAAAAAACAACAACAAAGGAATCAGGCAGAGATGCTCAAACACTGGTGTAATTTGTAACAGCACAATAACTAAAGCAGCAGTGAATTTTGTTTCTTGATAGCTGCAAGTTAAGACAGGATGATTAAAGCTGATACCGAGACAGAGCTGAGCAGCTGCATTTGTCTTAAAATTGGGCAACATTAATGGCCAACAGTCATTGTTTTCCAAACTGTACTCTAAACAGCTCTGAAAGGTTATTTCACTAAGAAAATGACCTTTTCAGCTCAAAGTTAGTTTCAGCAAAGTTATTTTGCACAAACATGGCAGTGAACTCCTCAGGTGTCAAACTGCATTGATTATCAGTAGATTTCTGTACCTCAGGACTTTCAAGGGCCGAGAATGGAAACATTCCACCAGTTTTAGTCCTGACAGGTCACCTAGATGCAGACCTACCTGCCTGCTCCCCTACAACCATCCTTAGCCAAGGCTCCCCCCGTCCGCACCTCAAAACGGTTAACAGAGGTCAGGATAGAGCCTGTGCTCCGGTGAGAAAAATTACTTTAAAAAATAAAAAGCCTCAGTCAGAACCGCTCGGCGTAACACGAACCACTTCCCCAAACTCGAGCCGAAACCGACGAAGCCCACAGCCGGCACCACGCTCCCTTCAGCCGCTCTCTGACGGTCAAAAGACCGCCGCGCGACACGCCCCGCCCAGCGATCCGCCTCCACGCGCC